TATTTCTTTATTATTATTATTTATTATCATCTATTATTAGGAGCTGAAAATGCCAAGTATTATGATGAAGTAATTTTTAAAGTCCTTATTTTTTTACATTAAGTCATCCAACCTTTCTGAATACATATTCATCTGTGTTCTACCATGGATACCATACATCTATGGCCAGTTTGCTACTGGAGACAATAGGCAGAAAAAAATACTAAGTAACAATAAAAGGTAAAAGATATATAAAGAAAAAAACCTCAGCTCTCATTTTCATCAATTTCTAAATCTGCAAATAGGAAAAGTATTCATGCAACAATGCCAAGCACTTAGAACTAAGTAATATTTTTTAAAAGCAAAAAACATGTTTTATACTTACTTTAAAAGATTCAAATAACTAAAGATGTGCTATTTGCTATCAAAATGGAATCAATTTCAAACTTAAAAAAAATACTGAAAAAGCAATCATTTCCAAATAAAATCTATCAATATTAATAAAAATAGTCAAAACAAAACTTAATAGTTAATGTTTGGGAGGCAAATGAAAACAAGAATTTAAGTGATTTGCAATTAGCAAAACAAGTTAAGTTCAATATTGTTGCTATGTATTGTACAGATCACATAAATCCAACTTCAGAACAAAGGACAAAATTACTAAGCCATGTTTAGATGGTTTCCCCTTAACAAAAGCATCTCCGCCTTCACAGAATTACTGAAAAGATTAAACGAGGTATTTAATTATTTAGTCATTAGGTACAATGTTAGCTGTGTATCCAATGACTATAAGAAAAAAAAACAAAAAACTGTTGTCCAGTCAATTTCGACCCATTCACAGTGGCCCCTCCATTGGGTTTTCAAGGCTTTCGGCATCTACAGGAGACTGCACATCTTTCTCCTACAGAGCAGTTGCTGCATTCAAGCCACCAATCTTCCAGTTAATTAGCAATTCCATATATCATGAACTATGCCACTAGATACTCTTAAGTGTGCTCTATTATAAATAGGGTTTTCATCAACAACCTACGTTATGCAGATGACACAACCTTGCTTGTTGAAACTGAGGATTAAAAAAAAAATGCTTGCAGCAGAAGATCAAGGACCATAGTCTTCACTATGGATTGAAGCTCAACATCAAGAAGACAAAGATTCTCACTACTAAGCTAACTGGCAGCACCATGATAGATATTGAGATTGTTAACAATTAATTACAGCTTGCTTGACTTCACAATTGACACTCTTGGCACCAGCAGTTAGGAAATCAAAAGACAAACTAACTGCACTGGCATAATCTGCTGTCAGGGACCTCTCCATAGTACTCAAAAGAAACAACGTCAGCCTTGAGGTTAGGCACACCTGATCCAGGTCATGATCTTCGCAATTACTTGCTATGCATCAGAGAGCTGGACATTGACTAAGGATGACAGAAGAAGAATGATGCCTTTGAGTCATGGTGCTGGAGAAGACTCTTGAACATATCCCATAGACCACCACAAATAGGTCTCTCTTGGAGGGATGAAAGCAAGTTTCTCCTTCGAGGTTAGGATTTTGAAGCTCCGTCTCACATAATAAGGGTATGTGGCGAGGAGGGACTGATCCTTGGAGAAGGACATAGTGCTCAGAAGGGTGGAGGGACAGTGCAGGAGAGGAAGACCCCAGATGAGATGGATTAATTTAGTAATTGGGATAATGGGGGGGGGGTGTCAGTGAGATTGGCTAATAGCATTTCTAGGAGTTACAGGGGACTCAACAGCATATAACAATAATATGCTATTAGTACGAAGCTCTTTGTGGCCTAATGGTAAGAAGCTACGCTGCAATCCTGAAGGCACCTGGTTTGAATCCACCAGCTGATCCACAGGAGGATGGTCAACCTCCTCCCATGCAATTAATTTCCTCTGAAATCCTGGTTCCAACTCTACACAAAACCAACATGCCACCAGTACTCAATAAGATAAATATAAGCTCCTACATAACAACACATTTTATCAGTATGATTTAAGAACATCAGAAGATTGAGATGCTCAATTTATTTCATATTTTCTCTCATTTAAAAAACCCTTAATATGCCAACAAAATTAATACACTGATCTTCTAATTAAAATGGCTAGTTTCTAATCCTATAAGGGCACTCTTTTTTTAGAATCTGATAAAAGTGATGGACTTTTCCCCCACAAAATACCATATACACCACACACAGAATTTCATATGAATCTGAAAACATTCAGAGATTCTCTGAAAGCCAGATCAATAATGCTATTTTATCTGGTTAAATAAAATTAAATATTCAGTTCTTTGGTAAGGAACCACTTTCAAAGTGATCAAGAGGCACAAGAAGCTAGTGACAAGTGAACAGCAAAAATACACAACAATTCCATCACCTGAGAAACTTCTATCGGACATTCCGTTGTGCATTGTTAATATGTTGTGATATCTAAAGTGTTTTTCTCTCACTCTCTCACTTGTTTTGTTATTTAGTATCTATTCATTTCCCTCTCAAGTAAATTCTCAAAATGGCAGGGATGACTTTGGTCACAATTTCTAATACACAATACAAGTAATAAATATTCAATAACTATAGTACAACTAACAACATAATTTGCTTGAGTTATAAAATTCAAAATGTTGGTAAAACCTAGTACTGAAAGGTATAAAATGAGCATAGTTTTTAAAAAGCAGCAAGTGAATTTAAATATACTTTAGTATAACTGATAATTTCTCAAGCAAACAAGGGCACTCTATGCTCATAAGCCTTTTTTAGAGTTAGTTATTTATAGAGACTAGATTATGTAAGCAAAAACCTGCGTGTTGTCCATTGTCTATTCAAGAATTTAAAAATATGCTTACTCAGTCTTATTCCTACAGAGGTTTTTCCCAGGTAAAGAAAGCAACTGAGTAATTAATTTGTGAATTGTTTGTATAAATACATACAATAGACTGACAATTTAAATATTTTAAAGTCATCAAAGTTTTATACCTTAAAAATTACACATTAAGATTTTAGAAAATCTATTTCCTTTTAACATCTTGAAGCCAGGACAAATTTCCTGGAATATACAGAATAGTAAAAGTTCTAATTTAATAATAATAATTTGACACTTACACTGCCACATTTTTCCTAATGGTATATTCATCCAAATCGTCATCAGAGCTGCTATCAGTTGCATCAGAATCCAGACCCTCTTCAACATGAGATAACAACCCTGTAGCAGACAGTGCAAATCTTTGGATTTCTGCAGCTGAACACTGGGCAAAGCCATTTTTTGTATCATCCCATAATTTATTCTCTGCAGTCAATATGTTGACTTCTGGCTTAATTTCAGTACATTTAGGTAAGTGATTATCCGTAACTGTGGCAGGTTCATGAAAAATCTTCATTTTAGGAAGCTGATGCTTCACAGAAAATTTCATTTGCTGACCATAGTGCTTAACAACGTGGTTTGCCAGGAGCATCTGCAAGTGTTTCTGAGTTCTTCTAGCCTGGCTGAGTAAAATTTTCTGTTTGCTTACACAGTGAAGTAAACGAGCATTCACCTCCTCTTCTTTGTCAGCAGTTAAGGAACTAATAGGCACATGTGAGCGGCTGGGCCCAATTTTTTTTTGCGCACAGTGTAATAAACCCTTTTTAATCTCCACATCGGAGACTTTAGCCAAAAGTGCTTTTTTCTGGTACCATTTACAGTTTTGCAGTTGTACTTTATCTACCTTAGTGTCTTTGGTAACTTTTGAATCCAAAATAATTTGTACATCTGTCATGCCTGTGGCATCTGATAGAGGCTCCTTTTTGAAGAAGTCTTCAGAATGAGAATGACAGATTTTACTGAGCTGAATGTTACTGCCATTACACAGTATTTTATTCAGTTTATTGCAATTGGGTTCCCCTAATTTCTTTTGTTTATAATTCTCATTATATTTATTTAGAGTAGAATTAGAACTCATTAAAAGAACTGTCTGATAATGTTTAGAAGAATGAGGGGAGCCAAAATGTTTTAAATTTACAAAATTAGAATTAAGAGTAGGTTCAGCAGTTGGAAATCCCAGCATCTGAGAGAAAGTTTCTCCCGTCAGCGTTTCATCTACAGTTCTCGAACTTCCCATGCACATCATCTTGTCAGATTCCATAGTACGTGGCAAAGATGAAAAGTGGATACTCTTTGCCGCTGGCTCCCTCAGAGCTGGGGTCATGGCGATTTCTGCAGATAATAACCGGAAACCTAAAATAAGGTAAAAATAAATCATCAAATATCTAGGAAAAAATGTTTATACATAAACTTGTTCAAAGTACAATACTTCTGATGTTTCTGATTAAAATATAAATGCAACCAAACTCCACCTTTAACTGAGTATTATCTCTGCTCTTTCCTAAACTACTCCTTATCCTGATTCAGATACTCCAAATTCCAATTAAAATCACACATCATTTAACAAAGTTACATCTGTGGATACAATTATCAGAATTCCACTTTTTTACAATGTTTATTTAGTAAAAGAGTCAAATGACAAAGATTCCTAACCTGGAAGCTAGCAACCATGCATGGAAATGTGATTCACTCTCATACTTTCAGTGGAATTACTCAACTTTATGACAGAAAATAAATACCTTTAAATCTTCATAAACTGAACAGTATGAATAATTCAAATATGTTAAATTGCATTTATGAAAAAAACTAGATGAGTAGAACTACAAACAAGGATGTATTTAAATAATTTCACAGTTGTTAAAAATAATAAAAAATTGCTGATCTGCAGTATGCATAATTTTTTCCTGAAACAGCATTTGCAGCACCTTCCCCCTTTTCACAATCCTCAATTATACTTTTTTAAATAATTTTATAAATGATGTTATCCTTCCTAGAAAATATTGGAGACTGTGTCAGATTACCCTAAGGATTGTTGTTGTTATGTGCCATCGAATCCCTTGCGACTCATAGCGACCCTATGTACAACAGCCCTAAACTCTGCTCTGTCCTGTGCCAATCGCTGTCTCTGACACTCCCATCCCCATTACCCCAACCACTGAATCAATCTACCTCATAGAAGGCCTTCCCCTCCTGTGCTGTCCCTTCACCCTCCCAAGCATGATGTCCTTCTCCAAGGACCGGTCCCTCCTTACAACATGTCCAAAGTATGTTAGACAGAGCCTCAGAATCCTTGCCTCCAAGGAAATACCCGGTTTAACTCTTTCCAGGATGAATCCATTTGTTTTCCTAGCAGTCCATGGTATTCTCAATACTCTTCTCCAGCACCACAGCTCAAAGGCATCAATTCTCCTTCTATCCTACTTGGTCACTGTCCAACTCTCTGATGCATAACAAGTGATAGCAAAGACCATGGCCTGTATCAGACACACCTTAGTCTCCAGAGAGACACCATTGCTCTTCAGTACTTTGGAGAGGTCTTTAACAGCAGACTTTCCCATAGCAATACGCCTTTTAATTTCCTGGCTAATTTTAAAGTTTTTATTTTACAAATTTTAAAAACCCTGTGGTGGTGTTATGTTCTCTCAAATCAGAATCCACTGATGGCTGACCCTTCAGCAGGTTGTCAGAGGCAGTACGCCACAAGGAAGGAGACTGCCCATCCTTCTTCTGTGGAGCAGCTGGTAGACTCGAACCATGTCTTTGAGTTGCCAGCACAACTCCTTAGCATTAAGTTACTAGAGTTCTCTGTAGATATATAAAAACCCTATAGATATGTATTAATTTGCTTTATTAAAAAGTAAAATGCTTCAGTAGCTAACAAAAAATTTATCATTAATAATAATTTTTTTAAAAAAGTATCTAATACAGGAGCTCTGGTTGCCTGCTTCTAGTGGCAGGAGGCTGCGCTGCAATTCCCAAGTTGCGTGGTTCGAATCTCCCAGATGCTCTGCTGCAGAGAGATGGGCAGTCTTCTCAACAGCACACACAACAATAAAATAAATTAAGGTCTCACTAAAATAAAGGTTAAAAAAATCTAATACTTTTGAGGCTGACATGATGTTTCACATGAAGTGTAATAGTCATTTAATATGATTCCACTAAAGACTTTTAAAAATATGAACTCAAAAGTTAATCAAGGGGGGGGGGGGAAGAAGGCCAAAAAAATTGTTTGGAATGAAAAGTATCATAAGCAGGGCTAAAAGCAAGTGATAGACTAGGAAATAAGATCTTTGTAAGTAGACTGCTGTTGTGTGCCATCATGTTGGAACCGACCCATAGCTGTCTCTCTGGTGGGTTTTCAAAGGCAGTAAATCACACAAAAGATAGATTCATACTTAGATTCATATCTGTTGATCTTGTGTACCATCAAGTCAGAACCAACCCACAGTTGACTCTCCAGTGGGTTTTCAGAGGCAGTTAATTGCATGGGAGGAGATTCCCCATCCTTCTCCCATGGAGAGCTGGTGAGATTCAAACTGCTTGCCTTTAGGATTCAGAGCTCCCTAGAGTCATATCTAGTATAAAGAACTTCTAAATGAGCAAAGGATATATTTAACTGTGCTGGATATAATGAAATCCAAATGGTCTTTAGATATATACTTTATCTCACAATAAGGGAAACGCAGATTAACAAATCAAGAAACCATTTTTTAATCACCAAACTGCCAATGATGAGGATGTGCATACTAACATTTATTGTTGTTGTTCTGTGCCATCAAATCACCTGGACTGGGGAGCTCTGGTGGCCTAGTGGCAAGAAACTGCACTGCAATCCCAGAGGAACACGGTTCGAATCCACCAGACGCTCTGCCGGAGAAGGAGGCGCAATATCCTCCTGTACCAGTCAGATCTGATTTGACGGTACACGTACACAAAATTAAAAAAAAAAAAATCACCTGGACTATAAAATGATTCTGTAATTTGACAATATTGCTGACATGTATTTGTTACAGGTGTCCCAAGACCAAGATTAATAGCAAAATATTCTTTCAAAACAACTATCATCTAACAGTTAAGGAAACTATCATCAGAGCAGTTAAGGAAATATGATGACATTTTTAACTGGTGCCAGTGAATCATACACAGTGGTCCTTCTGCTCCCCTTACACAGTGGTCCTATCAAGAGCAGAAGGAAACACTCCCTGATCCTGCATCTCTGCAATCACTGTCATGTCTAAACCCCTTGTTCTAGTCACTGTGTCAATGCATTTCACAGGGGTGGAAGGTCTTACTTAGTCTCTTTTGCTAACACTCTACTTTTCCAAACAAGAAGTCCTTTTCTAAGGACTGGCCTCTCCTAATAACATCCAAGTTACAGGAGACCAAGTCTTAAACATTTTTGCTTCTAAACAGCACTGTGGCTTCACTTGGTCTAATAAGACAGTTTGGTTTGTTCCTTTGACTGACTGTGGGATGTTCAGTGCTCTTCCTTGTTGTTGTTATGTGCCATCAAGTCGTTTGTGACTCATAGCGACCCTATGTACAAGAGCCCTAAACGCCGTTCTATCCTGTGCCAACCTCACTGTCTCAAACACACTCATTCCCACCACCCGACTCACAGAATCGATCCATCTCATTGAGGGTCTTCCTCTCCTGTGCTGTCCCACCACTCTCCCAAACATGATGTCCCTCTCCAAGGACCAGTCCCTCCTTGCAACATGCCCAAAGTATGTCAGACGAAGCTTCAGAATCCTTGACTCCAGGGAACACTCTGGCTTCACTCTCTCCAGGACAAACCTGTTTGTTCTCCTAGCAGTCCATGGTATATTTAACACTCTTCTCCAGCACCACAGCTCAAAGACATCAATTCTCTTTCTATCATCCCTGTTCACTGTCCAACTCTCCGATGCATAGCACGTAATTGCAAAGACTATAGCCTGGATCAGGCGCACCTTGGTCTCCAGCCTGATGTCGTTGCTCTAGAGGTATTATTTATTTACCAGCAGTTAAGAAAAAGATGTATTGCTTTGGGAAAGCCTGCTGTCAGGAATCTCTCCAGAGTGTTTCAGTTTGAAAACTAAGGCTTGTCTGATTTAAGCAATGATATTTTTAGTCACTTGCTATGCATCTCAAAGTTGGACAGTAATAAGGATTACAGAAGAACTGATGACTTTGAGTTGTGTTTTTGGAGAACTGTGTTGAATAGTCACGGAGTGCCAGAAGGACAAGTATGTCTTGGTAAAAGGTGTAGGTAGGGTGAGTCTGGCCAGGATAGTAAAACTTTGTCTGAAATACATTTGACATATTGTTAGGAGGAGCCAATTCTTGGAAAAGGCCATTATGCTTGGATATGATAGGTGGAGGGCCAGAGACCCTCAAAGGGATGAACTGAAACAGTGTAGCAGTGGGCTTGAGTGTGTCAGAGCCGATGAGGATGACATAGCATAGAGCAGGTTCAGATTTATTGTTCATAGATTCACAATGAGTCATAGTTGACTAGGTGACAGTTTAGCTACAACAGTTCTACATAGGATGATGTAGTGGTGTTCTTAGTAATGATAAACAGGCAGGCTAGTATGTATGTATGTGTGGGGTTAATTAATGGTGTTATAATACATATATTCTGAACTTTTATTTTTGAGGCATAAAAAAATAGTATCGAGATATATTGCCAGAAGATATAGCCAAGAAAACTTGGTGAAGTACATTTCTACTCTCAAATAGATAACTGACTCATCAGGATTAAGTTGGTTTTGGAGCTTGGTCCATTCTTATCAATAAAAACCTAATTGCTAGTGTACTTGACGGAAGCCATAGTATTCTTATTTGCTTCATATGCATATGCAGTGTGGATAATGAATAAGGAAGACTGAAGAATTGTTATCTCTTAATTGTGAAGTTAAGGAAGAGCTTACATGTGATATCAATAATATTGTTCGATAATTTCCACACTCTGTTTGGTCACCTTTCTTTGGAAAGGAAACAAATATCAATCTCTTCCAGTCAGTTGGCCAGCTGGCTGTCCTCCAGATTTCCTGACACAACTTAGTGAGCACATCCAGGGCAGTGTCTGTCTGTTGAAATAAATCAATTGGTATGCCGTCAATTCCTGAAGCCTTTTTTGCCAATTCCTTCATAGCAACTTGAACTTCCTCCTTCATCACCATAGACTCTTGCTCATATGTTATTTCATGAAATTCTTCTGTGTCAGCCAATTCCTTCTGATACAGTGACTCTGTACTCCTTCCATCTTCTTTTGAAACTTAACAGATCACTCAACATTCTACCCTAACTATCTTTAAGTATTGCCACCTGTGGCTTGAA